CCCCCCCCCCCCGCTGCTCCCCTCAGCAGTGTACTTTGTCCATCTGGCTGTCTGTACCCCACTCTGTCTCTGGTGAATCCTTTCACCCTCACATCTCTGGCCTGTACCCCAGTTCTGTACGAATAAATAAATAAATCTTAAAAAAAAAAAAAGAGATAAGGGATCTATTCATTCAATGTAGATTCCTTAAGGACCTGATCCTAGAAGAATACTCTTGTTTCACCATTATGTTGCTATAGTATATATATGTGTGTGTGTGTGTGTGTGTTTGTGTATACACACAAACATATATATGTGTGTATATATATATGTATGTGTGTATACACAAACACACACACACACATATATTCATTTGCTCTTTATTCTATTTTTTTATACATATAAAACTGGGGTACAGGCCAGAGGTGTGGGGGTGAGAGGATTCAACAGTGACAGAGTGGGGAGCAGAACAGGCAGGTTGACTAAAATACACTGCTGAGGGGAGTAGCAGGACAGGAGAGGTCTGATGTGCCATGTGGGTCACACCCTTGGCCGGGATTTGAACTCATGCTGCAGTGGCTGCAATAGCTTCATAGTGCTGTGCTTAACCTGTTGCACCACCAGGGAGGACCCTCTTTATTCTATTTTTTTTAATTGAGATATTATTGACATATGACATTTATTTTTAGTGTACAACATAATTATTCAATATTTGGATATATTGTGAAGTGACCACCACAAAAGGGAAAGTTAATATTCATTATCACACATTGTTAGAAAATCTTTTTTTCATTGATGAGAAATTTCAAGACCCACTCTCTTAAAAACATTCAAAATTACAAGAGTATTAATTATTTTAGTCATCCTGTTTCATGTAGATTCTGATTTTGACTTTCCATTCCTTCAGGCTGCCCTTTGATTTAGAATGAAACCACTTTTCTAGAGGGTCTACATTTATCTTTTAGGGAGGGGACTCATGTCTAGTGTGCATTTTTAGTCCAGTGGAATTTCTTCCCTTTTACTTCCTTTTTCTTTTATTCATCCCTTGCTATATTATTGGATGAAATTTTGAACATCCAAACTTATAAAGTCAGAATCCTGTACTTGTAAACTTAATTCCATTTTGTTGCAATTATTTATATTCAGATGCGCTCTGAGGGGATAAAACATTTTTTAAACCTCTATATTTTAAAAGCGTGTAAATTAACTAGTTAATATTCAACATACTGATAGCTTATGTTGGCTTCTGACCAGAAGACATTTCTTTGCTTTTCATTAAATCAGTGCCGTCATGTCCCGTGAATTTTGGATAGTATTAAAACATCAAGATATATATTATTCCATTTTCATTATTTTCCTTTTATCATCTCTTGGAATAGAAATTAAGAGTGTAGGAGTAGAGGTTATATAAACCTCTGTGTGATTGGGCAAGTTTTGGAAAATCTGCTAGCCTCAGTTTCCTTATCAGTAAAATGGCAACAGTAATAGTCCTTCCATATAACGTTGTTATGAAGATTAAAAAGGAAAATGTGTGTTGACTGTTTCCCCTGAAGTAAATATTCCAGGAGCTAGTTCTGGTTGCTGTCTGTTGTGGTTACTTTTGTTAAATTGTAAACTTTTTGAAATTGTGAATCACACTTCAGACTTTGTTAAGCAATTAGTACTTACTACAAATTTATTGTTATTTACCTGTAGAATAGTTGTGCTTAGTGATAAGAATGCTAGAAAATGAAATAAACTGGAATTATTATGATTCAGTTCAATTGTTTTCTTTATATTGCACTTTTTTATTTCCTCTAAGTTAATGGGCTTTTTTTTTCTTTCTCCTGAAATGATTCATATTTTTAAAAAATACTATTTATTTGTAAACTTTCTTTTCTCACACTGGGTGGAGGAATTCAGATTCAAATTCCACTAGTATTTTCACTGTTAACCTTTGTGTCAGTTCCTGTTCTAGGTGCTTGAACATGCCTAGAAATTACCTGCATGTCTTAGGTTAAAAAATCCAAGACTCAGAGAGTTCAAATGAATGACTCAAGACAATAAAATTGTAACTGGCAGCTGCATGAATACCAAGAAAGAAAAACAGTGAGAAAAAACTTTAAGATGAAAATGACTAACTAGTATGAAGTAAAGGGAGAGAGAATTGCTTTTCCTTCCAAAAAAATATGATGTGGAGAGAAGAGTGAGGAAAGTCTTTGTGAAGGAGATAAAATTGAATCTATAAGATGGTCAGTCAATCTAGGAACAACTGAGAGTTGATTAATTTAGAACAAATATTTGTCCTTTCATTTCTTTGATTCTCATTATAGTTATAATAATAGTGTACTTGACCAATAAATGTAAAATAGACAAATTGCCAAAATTGAAAGATAAAATTGTGAACGTGGGAGATGTTTTATTTGATATGTTGACTATGGGTCCATTCACACTTTCTTACTATATAAAGAATTTGATCTAAAGGAAGAAGACCACTATCAGTGTTCAAAAGAACAGTACATCTATCCTTTCAATAACTTTAGCCACAGTTCTCATAATACAAAACTAATCCTTGAAATGCTCGGTAAATATATTGATTCTGGGTACAGACGAACCCTCCACTTCTGAAGGCTTGGTATGGACTCCGATTTAGGTCTCCAATGCATGTCCAGCGGTTTTTGGTGCCCTTTTTGGAAACACACCATTTGGCATGATCCCGAGAAGAACTGAAATAAGATTGTCCAGATATCTTAATTGCTTTGACATTGTAGACATGATAAGGAAGGGAGCAGTTTGAAGGAAGTTCCTGTCTCTTCCGCTGCCAGGTTTCTGTTAACAAGTGTGTCTTCAACTGCTGAGCCATCCAGGCTGCAAAGATGTCTAGAGTTATAAGAAGAAAGATAGTAAGAAGAAAGACTTATACTTAGATAAGTCTCTGAAAATATCCTCTGGAATGGAAATCTTCATTCACCCCTGATATGTGGATGTCATGCACACATTAATAAGAACATAGTTGAGATAGTGAATGGGAGAACATTTTGTCAACACTAAGGTGATGTGCAAATAAGAGTTATTATCATCATTGCCATGATGATGTTAGAGTCTGCAAATGTCTTTTGTTCTAACCAGACAAGGGAGCAAAAGATCTGTAAAGATCTTGGAGAGAATAAGGTTACAGATGTCATCAGAGCCAGCTCTTTGGGATCTTTGTAAACCACACTAAATGTTTGGATTTTCCTAAAATCAATAGGGAATTCTTCAAGGAGTTTTAGTGGGGAGTTAATAAAAATTAGTTTATATTATAAATGCCAGGTAAGAAGCACTGAGAAAGATGAATTTAAAAGGGTGTGGTAGATAAGAGATAGGGCAAATAGGCTTTTATATTAACTAATAATAAACACAGATGAAGACTGGTGAAGGTGAAAGTTTGGAAAAAGAAAGATAAATCTGAGAGTTATTAAGGAACCTAGGACTGATTGAATATGTTGGATCAATAGAGAGCTGAGAAAAAGGAGGGATGTAAAGTTGCTGGAGACTATGAAAAATATCAGAAAGAGTACATTTGTGGAAAATAATGATGAGATGTGTTTGGCATATTGAATTTGGTGTGGCTATACAGCCTCCAAGTAGAGCTGTCCCAACCATTGATGACTACTCTGTCAGTACAGAGATCTGGGGTGAAGATTTATACTTGGGACTCATCCAGTTGGAGTTAGCTAGAGTGGGTATACAGGGCAAAGTGAGCAGGAACAGAGGATCACCTGCAATCCAGTTACCCAGGGAATAAGCAGAGGAAGATAAGCAGAAGAGACTTACATGAGGTAGGAGGAAGAGCAAAGACTCCACCTTCCCAAACACTAGTAACGGGGAATATTTCAGGAAGGAAAGTGTTTCCACAGTGCCAAAATCTGCTGACAATATTTCTGTCCTGTTAATCTGGGGATCCCTAGTGCGCTAACATGGGACATGGAAAAAAATAGGCATTCGGTACATTTCATTCAGTCTGTATAAGATGGAAGAAACCAAATAAGAAAGGAAGACATTGAAGTCCATTAAGACAATCATTAGTAACTGGGGAAAGAGGACAGTGTCTGTAGACCAGTAAGACTGCCGGGAAGGTCACAGAGCAAGTGGAATCTCTGCACATTTTTGAAAAAAAAATTTAGAAGAAAGGAAAAACAAGGATACAGGTGGTTTAAGGTTGCGGGAGGGCTCTTAGGCATGTGTTGTGAGGAGGCAGAATGTGGAGCGGGAGATGAAGAAGAAGAGGAAGATGAAGAAGATCCATCAGCAGATGAATCCAAGTATCCTGAGGCTGGGATACATTTCAGGGCACAGAGATTTCACAGCTTCTGTTGGGAAGGGAGGGAGCCAGTGAAAAGGAAAGGCAAAGTGAGATTGTTGCCTGGATGCAAGCACTAGTAGCACAGTGGTTTTTCCCTGAGGACTCACTATTCTGTCTATGAAGGAAAAAGCAAAGTTGAGTCTGAGGAAGCAGACTTGAGACTTGAGAGTAAGGAAGGCTTAAAGCAACTAGTGGAATGGAAGAAAAGGGAAACACTTGTGGCCCAAGGCCCAACAGAAACTGAAGACTGACTTTTACTGGCCCCTGGTCCGATAGTTTGGGAGGTCCTTGTTGGACTAGCACCTCTGCTCGTCATGTGGAATAGGAGGATGTTTACCTTAATGCTAGTCTTCTCTCTTTCCTCCCTCCTTCCTCTCCTCTTTTCTATTTTTTTTTAAGATTTATTTTTATTTATTTATGCATACAAGAGCTGGGGTGCAGGCCAGAGCTGCAGGGGGTGAGAGGATTCAACAGAGTGGGAAGCAGAACCAACAGATTGCCTGAAGTACACTGCTGAGGGGAGCGGTGGGAGAGACAGGAGAGGTCTGCTATGCCATGTGGGGGCGTGGGGGTCGAACTTATGTCTCAGTGGCTGGTGACAGCCTAATAACAATAAGGCTGAGAATTTAATTCCTGCACCACCAGGGAGGCCTCCTCCTTTTCTACTCTTTCTTTGAATAATCAGAATATTTCTTCTAAGCAATCCAAAGTGAGTCAAACAGCAGTCATACAGCTTATTGTTTGAGGATGGTCTTGCATACCGTCAAAATAAGAGTTAGGCTTTGCAAAATGGAGAAATTTTTGTCCCCTGGCTGACCAAAGTGTCACGAGGCGCCGGCCAGGGATGCGTCGGCCAGGGATGCTTGGTGAGTGAGACATGGCACACAGCTGGGGCATGTGGACGAGCTCCTGGTGGAAGGTGACTGGGATGGAACAACTATAAATGTTTGGGTTGCAGACTGAGAGCTGTGAATCTGAATCAAGAGAATAAAAAGATGGCAGTTAAGACAAAAATGGTAATACTAACAAATGATATAGCTCTTGTAATAAATTAAATGAAATAAAATAAAACAAGTATTCTCCTTTTAAAGTCCATAGCTGCCAAATAACTTTGGTTAAAGTAGCTGACACCTATTGAGTACTTTCTGCCTTCCAGGCTTTTTTTCTTTGAGTTTACACAAATTATAATTTAATTCTCATAGCAACAATATAAATGAAAGTTGATAAGTTTTTTTTTTAACCAATTTCCTTACCTTACAGATGAATTAGTGGAGAATTTACTTCCCATGTCCAAAGTTATGAAACTTGACAAACTCAGGCCATTTGACTTTGGAATGAGATCATATATTTTTTTTCTCCTATATGTACATATACAAAAGTAGAAAACTATCTTGTGTCAATCATCCAACTCCAAACAGCATATCCCTCAATCTATGCTATTCATTCCTGTAATCACTACATGAACTTAGCTAGCTAGACTAGAGCTTGTCTTGGGCAGAAGTTTTGGTAATCCTTAACATAACATGAAATTTTTTTTGTAAATTATTTATTTTTTTACATCATTCTTCATTTTGTGCATATTTTCATCTCAGTTGTAATCCCTGTGGACTTCCCCACTACCAGTTCACCTGTGTGCTATCATTATAGTCCCATGTACTCTTCCCACTCCAGTTTTGATCCTAAAATATCTCTGGTTTATAGTTGTTCATTGTTTTTCATTTTTACTTTATAACAAATGACTTTTTTATTTTTTCCTGACCCCTCATGTTCCTGCTCTGAGTGAAACCATCTGGTATTTTTCTTCTCTCTGGCTTATTTCACTGAGCATGACCCCTTCCAGCTCCATCCATGTTGCTGCAAAAAGCATGAGGTTATCTTTTTGATTGCTCAGTAATATTCCATTGTGTATATGTGCCACATCTTTTTAATCCAGTCATCTATTTTTGGGAATTAGGGTTGATTCCATGTCTTCCCTATAGAAAATAGAGCAGGAGTGACCATGGGGATGCAGGTGTCCTTTTGAATCAATGCATAACATAAAAATCTGATGAAAACATTTTCTAAGCATTCTAGATCTAGAGGCAAGTTGTTCTTCATTTCTATTTAGCAATCTCCTCAGTACAAAGTGATTGGTAAAATAGTGGTGCTACCTCTTCTTCCTACCATACTTTCCAAATCCAAGGGGATTTTGGCCATTTGAGCTGAAGATTGCAAAGGAAGATCACTTAGCTTGGAGGTGTCAGGTTGGTGGCCTACAAGCAGCATGTGGTCTGCATACATGTTTTAAAAATGAAGATTAAGACCATATTTAAAAATCAGGATCTTGGGAAGTCCCTGGGGATTACAATTGAGAGGGAAAAAGGCACAAAATGATGTAAAAACAAACTATTATGTTAAAATTTAAAAAATTCAGGATCTCTCCCCCATCAGTCTTCATTTGACTCTGTTTCCTATTCTAGGTCTGCTTTATCTTGAACTATATGGAGATCTGTAATCTTATTTCTGCATTCCTGCAGAGCATGATGGAGTGGAGACCTTTGTGGGAAACTAGAGGAGAGTCAGCACCCTACTGTATCACTCTTCCCATTGCCCAAGACATGTCTGTCTGTCTGTTTCACCTGTTTGTTTTCAGCCTGGTCAAAACTCCTGCCCCTGATCAAATTCAAAGATTTCAATAAAAGATCAGTAAATCAGGTTTTACTAGTGGCCCAAGGACTGAAGATAGCAAAGTCAGTATTAGAATCTAGATATCAGAGGATCTATAAGTAGAAAAACAAATGAAATAAGGAACTTATTGATACATTTCCAAATTTCTGCTTCAACATTGGGCATACACACTCTGTCTTGCATACATTCTAGTGTTACCTATTTTTTCATACTGATTGTACTTGAAAGTGACACAGATGCCAGTTTGTCCATTTTGTCTCCCTGTGGGTGGATAATCATAGCCTTCTTCAGGAATTGGAGGAAACCCAGGAATAGAATGAATCAGCCAGAACCCCTGTACTCTGTTCCACAGCAGAAAACCTACCAAAGATATAGTTAATACAGCTAAATTAGAAAAACAAAGCTTTTTTTTTAAAATACAAAGCTTTTTGTATTTTTTTTTTATATCAGAAATACAAAACTGCAACATTCAACCCAATGACACTTTCAGCTGATAAACATGGGGATCATCCTCACTCTTCAAAGATTGCAAAACCAAGTTGGGCACACATCACAGGGCCCCAACATCACAGGGCCCCATTACTGATAACAAGCCACCACATAATGGGAGCCAGAGCAGCCACCCTATGAAGAGGTGAAGAGGAATTTCTTGTTGAAACCACATGGAAAATTTGTTTTGGCAGAATGCAAATTTGCTAAATTGGAATTTGACCTTGTTAAACTACACTGTCACCAGGCAAACATCAAATAATGTCTTCGTGCAAAACAGCTAAGCAGCTAAGCAAAACTGGCTGAAAAGCAGGGTTGAAAGAGAAAATAACAAATGAAGACACATATTTGCAATAAAGACTTGCAAAAAATGATGCTCATTTATTTGGAACAAAGTCACCCAATTCCACAAGTTCCTCAAAAAGAGAAAAAGAGAGAAGCCATACAAAAACACCCTGGTTAATTGTGTTCAGTAAAAACCTCTAGAATGAAGTTAACATGAAAGTCAGAAAGGAAGAAAACAGAAAATTTTTCATCATCTTTGACATGGGAAAGAGAACTCTAATGCATGTTTATGACTATTCCTATGTTTATAAAAATATCAGGAGAGTTTTGGTATGTTAACTAGACTTTCCAGTTTGCTTTTGACTCTGCAAACATAAAACTCATCCGTATTTGCCTTACTGATAAGTGGAAACCAAATGCGTGCCAGCTACTTCCCTTTCAAAGAACACACCTTAAGTAAGCACATTATTGTTCTCAGTCTCAATGGACACAGAATTAATGTCTGCAGGGGGAGGGAAAATGTTCAAAGTTCCGTTGCCTTTGACCTTCAAGGCTCTTGTCTGCCCAGATGAATGTGCTGTTTGTTTGAAATCTTAACTTCCTGGTGTGAATGCCTTAGGATGTCAGCACTGCCTGACAAAAAGAACTTCCCTACTGGACATCAAGTTCCACTCTCTTTCCAGTCTCCCCCCACCCCTCCCCCCTC